CGCTTTTATAAGTGAGCCCACGGGAGTGAGAGGCATTCTTGAAAATCTTTAGCTAAAAAGAGATATCACACGATAATAGATCCCTGAAACGTAGTGAAACAATGATAAAATAACTTAAATCAGCCTAATTTGCGCAACGCACACCGTGACGTCACAAAGTAAGCGGGGCCATAGGTTTTATTTAATATTATTATTAAATCCAACAAACTTGATATAGAAAATGACCCTTCTTACGACATGTTAAAATTACAAAATTTATATTATGATATTCTTAGATAATATATTGACAGTAGGCTACCCCTGTATAAATCTATACAATGTTGGTGTCGCTCTAATAAAATCATTGTTCTTTTTCTAATGCAGGCTTTCTCGCTCATATTAGAATCTTCAGCAGTAGCGTACGTAAACGGATTGCATTGGGTTATCTTAAATGTGAAAATAGTGATTGCAAATAGATTAAAAAAGTACAAATTAATGTTTTAAAAGATAGGTACGTTTTTATTGAACTGAAAACAAAATATGACATTATTGTCATGTCAAAAAATATAATAAATATTTTATTGCTTCTAAAATATTTAGAATTACAGCAAGGATTTGGAATTCTAAAAAATATCTATACCTGTTGAAAACCTTTACAATGGTAGAACTAAAGAAATAGATAAAGCATTTATTTTAAACATGACAAAATATTCCTAATAAAAATAAAACAAACCAATATATATTTACCTATTTAGCATACGTAGAAGTATATCAAGATATTAAAAAAATATATAGGAATTTAATTTACTTTTCTAATGACTTCGTTTAAAATATAACTAGTTACTTTATTTAAATTAGGTAATTAAATATTCTTATATTACTGATGATAGTTTATATTTTAGACCATGTACAAATATACAGTATGCGTACAAAAACTAATAATTTTTTTAAAATTTCACATACTTTTTCACTCATCTTAATTGGGTCTGTAATGTTTTATTTCTGTTTCTTAAGTTTGAAGCAGTACTGTTGGCGACAAAAAAGTCTTCGTAATGACCAATTTTCTAGAAACTTCAATGCAAAGTTACCAAAATATCTAGGTTTTCTGAAATAGGTATTCATATACAATTTAATGTATCAGCTTAGATCAAATCCAATGTTTGATTTACTTCTTAATTAATGGTGACTCAAATTTTGTTGATAAGAATTTCAGAGGCATACCTTGAACCTAATATTAAAGTGTATGAGGTACTTTTGTTTAAACTATAACTTCTTTTATTTGTTGGTAAATTTAATACTCTTAAAGAAGGCCCATAATCAAATAATTTATTATCTGAAGAAATTACTATACTAAAAACATTCAAACATATTATTGGTTCGCCAAATTTATTAAACACACTTTCTATTTTTTTTTAGGTGACATAGTTCACCGCTACTCTTTTTTTCCTACTTTGTTTGTGTAATACAAAGTTCCTAAAAAGTAAAGATACAATTTTTAAAAGTGCTCGATATTATTTAGAAACGTACACACTTATAAATATATTTGTTACAGTAAAGCCGTCCTCTATAAAGTGCCTTAAACAAATGTAATATATTCGTTTAACTTCTAACATTTCAGTCCATTCAAGTGTCTTTAACCATAAGTTTCTTCTAATTCGTATAATAGTAATTTTATTTTTTTTAAATGCATATTTTATTTGCCTTTTTTCTCCTAATAGTCCACTAACTGAAGAACTTAAAATATGCAAAGCTGTCATTAAGTAGATCCAGATTTCCTTTGTGGCTCAATTCTTAGGTCTTGACGGTTGCTTTCAAGAGCGAAAACTTTTACCAACACTGCTGGGTTGGAAAGGGCTCAAAATGGCCCCTAAAGTCCAAAAAAATGGTTTCCCACTAATATCTGCCAAAATATACAAATTAGACAATTTTTGTTTAGATAAAAAAATGAAGATCGTATCATTATTTACAAAAATGGTCCCTACCATTTTTTTCGCAAGACGAATATTTTTTGCAAAAACGGCCTTCGAAAAAGCCCGGATTTTTGCACTAAATAGAAATGTTAGTTTCACACTAAATTTCCGCTCGAGGGAGTTGAGAATACATTGATTTTCATGTTTTGGACTTTGGAGACCAATTGTAGATAGCGCCAGCGGCATACCTCTGCTCACTAAATTATGCGGCCTATGAATGGAAATCCGGGCACCAATCGATCTTTCGACAATTATTGGCGCATTCTACGGGATTTTTTCTGTAAAGTAGCGCTTGGGGTATCTCATCTATATTGCCGAATGTTCTATGTAATTTGCGTTGCAAAATTTAATAGAAATGTGCAAAACAATTTTTTTTCATGTAGCAGTCTCAAATCCCGGCGCTTTGCCTAATAGTGGGTTACTAGTTTTAGAGTGTGATGAATATTGACCCGAGACGACTCTTTATATTTTCTGCGTCTTTTGCAAAATTTTCGCCAACTTCTCGATCCATCTCTAATTCTTCCGGGAAAATATCTTCATTTTTGTTATAATTAAAACAATGTGTCGACTGACACGAACCACAGACAGGCGAGCATTTCAGTCCGGCTTTCAAACATGAACAATTCTTCTCGCAGCCTGTCTTGCACTGACAAAAAATCATCTTCAAGAGTTCCGGGGGGGCCGGATCCCTTGTGGTCTGCACCGGTAGCAGTACATCTTCTGCACGTTTCCATCCCCATTCCTCTGGTGGCAGTTCGTTTCTGCATTTCTGCACTTGTAAATATACCCTATAAAAGTGCTGCCTAGCAGCTTCTTGGGTAAGGGGTAAGCATTCTAGTTTTATCGCAGTCTTGCTTTGGGCCAAGTTGTTGAAAGTCTTGTATCGGAGGGCCTGGAGAGTTGTCACCTCTTTTGGAGATTTGTAAATCGACATCAAAACAGTTTCTCCGTTTTTGAATACAGTCTCATGAGAAAGGCTCTGATTTTAAAAACATTCAATGGCTGTTTTGAGTTCACTGGACTGACCTTCTCCTGCCAATTTAGACCAATTTTCCACTACTGACATTTTTCCTTTTCTGAAAAAAGCAGACGTAGTATCGCTCCCAGTCATTGCATGTAAAAACAGAATATTATCTCTCATGAAAGGCTGATCATCAAGGCTCCCGGAAGAAAATAGCTGTTCGGGCTTGTTTTCTTTGGCAGCTTTTAAAAAAATTAATTTTCCGATCTCTTGGGGTCAAGGCTGTTAATAATGCTAGTACATCAATGTCCTCTGCCACTACGTCGAATTTTTCACTTTAAAAACTTATTCTCTTTTTTAACAACTTAATTGATAATACTATCAATATTTTTCTAAAATACTATCAATAATACCGACAATAACGACTCCAAAAACAACAGAGATTGTATACCAACAAAAGCAGACGATTAAGGTGAGAGCGTGGCGCGTGGGTACACGTGGTTAGGTTATGATGGAATATCATGGATCTCAGGCGGAGAGCGTAAGAATGGGGGAGATAATTCTAACAAACAGTTAAGAACCAAGCTCACATACGGGGATCAATTGATAGAAATGGAAAGGTGAGAATATCAGCTTCACTTCGGTCTGGGTATTAATGTTCAAAAAATGAACAGCGGGGAACAAGAAGTATTTAAAAAAAAGTCTGGTTTTCCCCGGTGTGATCAATTTTCCCGATTTCTGGAAAATGGAGCAACTTTATTAAAAAAAAAAATACATTCGAAAAGTAGACACTCTAAGCTTTAAAATCGTGTGTATTGAATAACAATATAATGAAATATGAGTTTTTAATTACTGCTTGTTTCAAAGATTTCTAGAACTCCGAAAACGTATGAAAAATGCAAATAAACAAATAAATTTTGTTTTAAAACGCCAGGAAGATACTGAAAAAAAATTTCTGAGATCATTCGAGACATCTCAAGATCCCATTTAAAACAAAAATGGGATAAAAAACTATTAAAAGAAAAAAATATGAATGAATTACTATAAAGTGGTCCAAAATAGTGGGAAAACGCAACTTTGACCCCTTTTTCAATGTTCTTGACAGGAAATAACGGGCTTCAAGGCACATGGATCGATACCTATGGGTTTTCCCATTGTAATTACTATTGTAATTACTACTTTGAATCATCGAAAAATATCAATTTTTGACCGAGTTCTGAAACAATTTGTCCACCCGTTTACAAGCTAATCAGCATTGCTATAGAGATAAAGCAGGGGCTGAACGAAACCTGTCGAATTCCCTACAAAAATGATAGGGACCATTTTTGTAGATAATAATAAGATCTTTCTGTTTTATCTAAACAAAAATTCTCTAATTTGCATATTGTGGAAGATATTGGCGGGAAACCAGTTTTAGGGTCCATTTTGAGCCCTTTCCGACGCAGCAGAGTTGGTAAAAGTTTTCGACCATGGAAGCGACCGCCGAGACCTAAGAGTTGAGCCACAACGGAAATCTGGACCGACTTAATGACGGGTTGGTCCCTTCAATTACTGGACTATAAAACGACGCCCATGTTCTTTGGTAAGAAATAACATTAACGAGTGAAACGTAACCTCACTTCCTCTTTTATATTACAAATCACATAAAACACAAGTCTTTTCCTAGTATCAAATAAACCCTACAAATCAAAGTCACTTTTAACACCACCATATTTGAACGAATTTAAGTAAAAACTTAAAAATAACTGGGAAAATATATATAGAGATAGAGATATTAATCTATTTCTCTCTAATTAGAATCTTTCATGCAATATCAAGGCGACAAAAAAATTGTTTGCTGTCTTCTCTGTACTACTCTGAGATGATATTAAACATAAACTGATAATCTTTTGACCTTTTCAACAAAAATAACATCATTTCGCTTTGTTTGTAACAAATTGATAACTATTGGGTAATTCCGAAACAAATGTTTATCAATTATTGTGCAGTTTATCATTATAAAATACTTTCAGGCATCATTTTCGCTAGTAGTAATCAACCAGTTGTCCCGATCAAATAATTTTTTTGTTAAATAATAAATGTTTAACAAAATGTTTGTGATTCGATTTGTTTTGGTGTCTTGTTTAGTCTTAGTGATTTTAGAATATATAGAGGCTGAATGTATAAGAAATAATGCCGATGAATTATATTGTGAGGATATTAAAAAAATTTCTCGAGAAATTTTAAACGAAAGTTATGAAAACTGTATGAGATTAATGATAGTTTACACCAAGGAACCTCTTGAAATAACTGCTTTTAGAAACATGAAAAAATTAACAGATATTGACATATCAAATAGTCGAATTGGAATAATATATTCTGAAACTTTTAAAGATATACCATATTTGGAACATGTATATATAAAAAATAATAAAATAGGAGATATTGAAGAATCAGCCTTTTTCAATTTAACCAAACTGCAAGAGGTAGTAATATCATACACCGATATTCCATTTTTAAGAAAAGGTATTTTCCGAAATGTCCCACAACTGTACATTATCAATCTACAAAATTCCAACTTATGTTCTATACAAAATGATGCTTTTTACGACGTGCCAAACTTAAAAAAACTTTATCTTAATAACAACTTGTTAACTGTTGTGACGAAAGATATGCTGAATAAATTGACTAATTTGGATTATCTAAATTTGGCTAACAACAGTATATCAATAATAGAAAAAAATAGTTTTGACCAAACTAAGCATTTATATTCCCTGTATTTAGAACGTAATCAATTGAAATCACTTGATTTGGATATATTTCCTACGACCGGAATGAAATATTTGCGATCGATTTATTTAAATAGAAATCGACTGATGTATCTACCATCCACATTTTTTACTAGAACACCGACTTTACAGGAAATTGGTCTAAGTCACAATCCATGGTTTTGCCCTTGCCTGTTCGAGATTTATAGGATTTTAAACCTATACAACATTACGGAAATTAGGGCTAAGAAAAATCTTTACATTAAGGAAATTTGGAATAAGAAGCTCTTCATGGTTAATTCTTGTAAGGACCCAATACCTGATGATAGTCCCTGGAGTCTTCCCATTTGCATCAATAGAAATGTCTTAGACAATATTTGTATAAATACATATAGTCAAGAATTAAGTGAAAAGTATTTAAAGTATATCAAAAATTACGAAGAATTCGTTTGTCACTTCTTCTGATATGTAACACAAAATTGTTAAATTCTACATCCCTGTTCACGTACAATTATTCTTCTATACCGGTGAATCATGAATGGTATATGACTTCAGAAGCCATCGGTATCACGTGTCATTATGCATGTTCATTGCCAAAAGTAAGTTGGTTATGTATTTTTGTTGTAATAATGAACACTAAAATAGATAATATACTATAAATATCAAACAGCGTTATATATTACAATAATTAATAAAGAAAACAATAAAAGAATACATGTAAGTTTACTTAAAAATCTGATATGTTCAAAATATGACTTCCCTGTCTAGTTATAATAGGCTTCTTCCGGTGATTTTGTAAGCTGACAAAACTGGGCGCTTATTTTCTTCAAATAAATACGTGATTTATCCAATATTTATTGGTATTAATATTAGTTAAATTAACAAAACACCTAATAATACCTCAAATTATTTGTTTATTTTGTTAATATAGCAGGCTTTATAATAAATAAAAATCTCTGCAAAATTTAATTCTACTGTGGCGTTAGGGAAACATTTTTAAAAAGTATTTAACATTGTATTTTGGCGACAAAATATTGCAGAGTACACATTTTTTTATACAGGGTGTTTTATAGAGAGAACCCCAACATTAAATTAGTTTTTTTAAGGATTAATTAAAAATCTTGTACTTATGAATTTATTTTTGGGAAAGTAAATACCACTAAAATATGTGTATCTCTAAGATTTAATATACAGTGTGTCCCATTAGTGTGTAATTCTTCAATATTTAAATTTGTGTTATAGATACGCAAAAAGTTCCAAATAAAACTTGGATTTGAAAAATACGTGTTTAAAAAATATTTTTGGATGTACAGGGTGTTGCGTTTATGCCTGGCAAATAAAGATGTATGGTTTTTAAATAGAACACCCTATATTTTATTTTATTTTTAGGATGGTTTGGTAATACTGTATTCAACCTATTTTTTGAAAATATTACATTGTTGCCAAACAACACTTTTAAAATAAGTTAAAGATATTTAGCTATAGTTTACAAATCGCTGCACATAACTTTACTTTACACATTAGGTTGTTTTGGGACTTAGGGTAAGTAATTTAATAGGTAGATGGCGCTGAGCTCAATAACTTTTTTCGATGGGAGGATCTTTATAATGTAGCGCATCTTGTAAAAATTGCATTTATAAACAGCAAGTCTCGTGTCTCGTGGTAGACGTGTGCAAAACTCGACCAGAAAAGTTCTTATTAAAACGTCAGCAGCAAACGAAAAATTTTAAAAAACATATCAATGTGTTGATAATAATGTGGACAATCATTTAGTCACAGTGAAAAAATAAAAAGTGAACATTGAACAATATATAAGGTAATTTAATGAAACTCTTTATAAAGCCTGTCCCTAAATTATATTCTAATGAATGAATTTAAAAAAGTAATTTCATACATACAAGGGTCATTTCAAAAGTAAAATGGGTGATGAATCAAAGCAATCATCAAAAGTGACTATCGACGACATCTATAATCTATTAAAACAAGTCAACAGTAACTTAGAAAATAAAATTAGTAGTGTAGAACAAGAAGTAAAAACTATAAAAACTGTAGTGTGTCAAGAAATTAATGATTTGAAAAATCGTGTTCAAATACTGGAACAAGAGAAATTAAGTCTGAAAGAAAAAATAACTCATAGAAAGAAAATCGAAACATAATAATATAATAATATATGGTATTCCAGAAGACAACGAAAATCCAATAGACCTCACAGAAACCATCTTGGAATTTGTGAATGGATTACTAAAAATGGAACTTCATAAAATAGAACTGAACAATTTGTTTAGAATAGGAAAAAAGCAACAGACTACACGACCAACATTGGTTTCTTTCATTTCTTATCTTAAAAAACAAGAAATCTTAAGGAACTGTAAACATCTTAAAGGAACTAATATATCTATTTCTGAAGATTTGATAGAAGAAGACAGACAAAATAGGAAGATACTGATAGAATACTTAAAAGAAGCAGAACAACAGAAAAAGAGAACTACTATTAAAGGGAACATATTGAAAATAGAAGAGACAGAATATACTATAGAAGATCTTAGAAATAAAAAACACTTAGAAAAATTTAAAAATTACCCCTCTCCTGAAATTACAAGAAAAGCCTCTAGTGAACCTACAACTCCTCTGCCAAATCAATTTCTAGAGGAGGACAATTTATTTACTCAACCAAATAACATACAAAATCAGGAACTAACAGCAAATAATCAAATAGATAACAAATTGCAGAACGAATTATCTCAGGAGAATAAAACTAAAAAAGGAGACAAACTGATATCTGAACGGACAAAGAAACTATCTTCAACAGCAACACCCAGGAAAAATTAAGTAACTGGAAATCGGCCAACTACTAGATATCAACAAATTAAATAGCCCTCGTATAAATTGTAGATTAGATAAAACGAACTGGACATTTGAAATTATCTCTGATTTTCTTAACAAATAATTTTATCGATAATGTTTTGTGTTTTTACCTTAATTAAGAATTTTAAAATAGTTGAATAAAAATAGAAGAATTTTATTAATTACTTTAACATGAGCTACTACAAATATTTTATTATCTTTTATTATTTTCTTTTTTTAATTAACTATTGTGGAAGTTTAAACAGATTTTAAATATATTTTGTTATTAAAAAAAAAAATAATAGATTTGTATAGAAATAGGTAATATGGACCCTTTTATACAATTTTACAATAATGAATCTATTAATGCCCAAGCTGTTAAAAATACGTTACATTTTAAAACATATTTAGGAGTAGATAGAGACTTCAAATTGTTTCACACTAATATTAGAAGTATAGCTAAAAATATAGACGAGTTATATATTTATTTAAGCCAAGTAGAGATTAGTTTTGAAGTAATTGTAATGACTGAAACTTTTCAAGTCACTGATGCGAACATCTTTGGATTAAAAGATTATAACATTATTTATAACGAATAAAACTATAGCAGAAACGATGGAGTCATTATCTTTGTTAAAGACAATATACAATATGAAAAAAAAAAATATTATTAATATAGGAGAATTAATCGTGATTCAACTTAAATTATTAATAAACAATAAAAACATAACACTAACCCCATTGTACCACTCTCCGAATTCATGTATTGATACTTTTAATGAAAATTTCTTTAATTATTTGCAAAACACTGATCCAAGTCATATACATATAATTACAGGTGATATAAACATTGACTTATTGTCAGATAATAAATATATAGAAGAATATAAAAGCAACTTAGAATACTTTGGTTTTGTATTGTATATAAATGACGTAACAAGGCCAGATAGTTTGACGTGTATTGATCACATATTTGTAAAAACAAATCCAAAGCAACATAACAATATAAAATCATTTATTTTTTATGAACAAATAACAGATCATAGACCTATTGCACTTTCACTAAACGTAGGTTATAAGGGTGATATTAAAACAAAAGAGGTGTATCATAAAAAGTATATTAAATATGATAGTTAAAGAGCAGACTTAAAAAATGAAATATGGTCAAATATATACCAGCATAATGAAGTAAATTATATTTCCGAAATTTTTGTTAACAAATTAAAAGAATTAATAAATAAAAACACAACGAAAATAAAAATAAAAAAAGAAAAATTTGCTAAGAAAAAATGGATAAATAAAGAATTATTAACGTCAATAAACGAAAAAAATAAAATGTATAAAACTTTAATTAAAAACCCAAATGATATACAATTAAAAGAAATTTATATAACTTACAAAAATAAACTAAATAAACTTATAAAAAAGTCTAAAAAATTGTATATTCAAAATGAAATTAAAAAAATCAATAATAAATCTACAGCATTATGGAAGTATGTAAATGAGGTATGCAACAAATCCAAACCTAAAAACGAAATTAAAAAAAATTGAGTTACAAAATGGTGAAATTACAACAAATAAATATGATATGGCAAACGAATTTAATAAACATTACAGCGAAATTGGAGAAAAACTTGCCAGTCAAATAGAAAATCCTATAGATTTTACAGATAATAAAGGAAAACTCGAAAACAGTATATTTTTATATCCTACTTACGAGGGGGAAGTTATAAAAATGATTGAACAACTAAAACTAAAAAAAGCTCCAGGAAATGATAATATAAATTCAGAAACATTAAAAAATATTTCAGACTTAATTGCACCTCCACTAACACATATAATTAATTGTTGTTTCGATACAGGAAACTTTCCAAATATTTTCAAAATTAGTTCTATGAAACCATTATATAAAAGTGGAAATAAACTTAAAATAATAAATTATCGACCAGTGTCCTTATTATCAAATGTAACAAAAATAATAGAAAAAATCATAAAAATTAGACTAAATAAATTCACAGAAAAATATAAAATATTATCGGAACATCAGTATGGTTTTAGAGATGGAAGATCGACAGAAGACGCAATTTATAAACTTACATCCTATATCTATAAGTCAATAGACTCAAATAAACCCTCTTTAGGTATTTTTGTCGATCTTTCAAAAGCCTTTGACACGGTATGCCACATTAAACTGCTTGAAAAATTGGAAAATATTGGGATTCGAGGAAAAGCATATGATCTGTTGAAAAGCTACCTGTGTGAGAGAAAACAAACTGTAAACTTAGATGGTATAGTCAGTAGTGAACAAAAAATTACTTACGGGGTTCCTCAGGGTACAGTACTAGCGCCTGTATTATTTACGATATATATATATAAACAACTTACTGCTCCAAAATTCTCAAGGAACTATACTAAGCTTCGCAGATGATACTGTAATTTTATATAGTGATGAAACTTGGGAGAACTTAAAATTAAAAGCAGAATCTGATTTTACCAATACTTTAAAATGGTTTAAATATAATAAATTAACACTTAATGTGGAAAAAACAAAATACTTACCCTTTACCTCTTACAGCCATAAATTACCCAATTTAGGGTCATTAATAATCAACCAGAATGTTCAAATTCCGGAAGCCAGCTCGATAAAATATTTAGGAGTAACATTAGACCGACATTTAAGATGGGATTTACATATGTCAAATTTAACTAAAAGGCTACGTGGTTTTCTGTCTCATTTTAGATCTTTAAAAGAATATTTAGAAATCCCTGACATAAAAATTATATATTTTGGATTAATACAATCCCAATTATTATATGGAATTATTGGCTGGGGAGGTGTTGGTAATACCTATATTAATTGTCTTAATATCGTTCAAAATAAAATCTTAAAAATTATACTAGGGAAAGACCAAACTTATTCTAGCAATAACTTAAATACAGAAATCGCAGTATTTGACATCGGACAGCTATACTGCCTACAAATGCTGTTAAATATTCATAAACGAAAAATCACAGTTACGCTTTTAGATCACCCTTATAACACACGATGCAAAGATAACACTGTTGTAGCTCCAAGGTGTTTAAAAACTATTGGACAGAAACACTGCAATTATTTGGGACCAAAAGTTCTCAATTTGGTACCTGAGGAAATAAAAAATATTTATAATTATAATTTATTTAAACAAAAAACAAAAAAGTGGATATCAAATTGTGACAGAGAAATATTTCATAAGATTGTTAATCAATTGTAGTACAAACACGTTTTAAAAACAATGAACCTAGTACTTAAAATAAATTTATTATATTTACCTTTTACTGACATTCACCCAAAATTGACATTTACCCGAAAGTGACACATAATTACCCACCGGATTTGAAAATATGTATTAGAATTTTGTTTATTTTAATTTAGGATACAAATAAGTTTGCTTGTAAGAAGAAAAAAAATTGTTTATAGTTTTAGCTATCGTTTTAGATTTTAGGAAACGGATATATCACATACAAGCTGTAGTTGATACAGCTTCTGTGATTCCATTGTTTATTTACAAATGATTTATGTTTATATTACTTATATGTATATTTTCGTGAATAAACATTATTATTATTATTTTGTTTTATAAATTAATTCGATAAATCTAGCTATTTTTGATATACAGAGTGGGCCACTCAAAACAGTTTAATCCTGTATTTTGGCAATAATCATCGGATTTTAAGAAAATGCTAAAACAGGTCGATTTTTATTCCAAATTAGACATATTTTCACAATACAGCCATCTGTCATGTGTCCACCCCCTCCCTTGCACTTCTCCGACCCCTTAACTTTAAATAGGTAATGTACCACGTATGGCACATCATTGATGAGGAAATTTTATGGGGGATTCAAAAATATGAAAGTACATTGTGTTACTTAAATTTTAGCGTCCTCTAGCCAGATAAAAACTATTACATAGTATAAAGTGTGATACTACCATGGGTCATTAAAAAAGCAATTTTATGGGGAATTCAGAAATATGACTGTTTAGTACAATATTTTTAATTTTACCGCCCTCTAACGAGATAAAAAAACTAACGTATTATAAAGTGACGTGACACTTCATTTGAAAGCAAATTTAATTACTAATTCAATGCACCACGTAACATTTATATAAATATCCTCCATATTGCACTTGAAAATTAGTCATGCATTATTTTTAAACATATTTGCTAACTTTATTTGTTGCAAGTGCAATATGGACATGATAATGTTATGTGGTGCATTCAATAACTATATAAATTTAATTTCAAATAAGGTGTCACATTTTATAATTCGGAAGTTTTTATATCCCGATTAAGGGCGTTAAAATTAAAAGTATCGCAATAAATACTCATATTTATGAATTCCCCATAAAATTACCTTTTCAGTGATGTGCCGTACATGGTACATTCCCTATTTTAAATTAAGGGGTTGGAGAAGTGGAAGAGAGGAGGTAGACACATGACAGATGTCTGTATTGTAACTTAAATGTAATGTGTAATTATTGTTGTTTTTAATTGAGGACTTATGACTGTAAAATTTTATGTTATAGAAATTTGTAATAAAATAAACTATGCAATGTAAAATACAAATTTTGACTAGTTTACAATAAATATTATATTTGAAAATAAATGAATTGTTTTACTTGCCCGAGAAGCTTTAAAAATACTTTGCAATGATTTCTCCTCGTGTTTTCTTTAGCTTTACATCTGATTTATATCCTGTTTTATAACCTGGAACGAAGTAAATCTTGCTTTGATGTTTTTTGTAACTCATTTTACTTGTAACCAAGCAATTTTTTCACATTATTTTGATTATTTTCACCAATTTTTTAAAAAACATGAAATTTACGTTTATGCAACCGAATCAGCATTTTACATGACCACTGATACTGAATATTAATAAATGTGAATAAAATTTTTCATTATTCAAATAGAAGCGCCTACACTTAGAATTTTTAAAGTTTATTGAT